ACTACTATTTAGGGTTTAGTGTTCAAAATGGTTTAGGACACAGGTTGTGCAGCCAAACGGTAGTATTTCTGGAAGGGGCGGTCCAAACATGCCCTTTGCGTGGCTCCCCCGATAATCGGGATATATCGGCATCCTGTAAAGGTTCCCAGTGATTTTGACCGTCTGCTTAGAGTGCTATTTCGTTCACATACCAAGGATCACAACCTGAAGCCAGAGTTTGTTTTGAGACGGATCCCACCCTTAATGGTATTTCATCTGGATTTGCCCCCACAATTGCGCAATTGTGTTTGGCCTGTGGTAAACAAAGATCCTGTCGTGTCTACAAATTGGTTCCCTGGGGTGGCGATTGCATGTACTGTCAGAGCACTGGTAGAAAAGTAGATTTCCTTGCCTGAAAATGTCGCCTATGGTCCTTCTCGCGACAGTCACGATGCTGGTCCCCACATATCGAAGTCTACATGGCAACAACGAATCCAAGCATTTTTAAGAATGCTGGCGGGTATATGTGTAGCACATAGCATCTACCAATCTAGAACAGCCCTGTTGGCAGGTCCATCGCCGCCCCACAAGAGAATTTCAACGCTAAAGGCTTCTGTTTCTGCACTTTTGAGTTCAACAGTTGTAGTAATGCTACGCACCCTAACATTTATCGTGCATCTATGATTTTTGTAGAGTGTTAGCAGCACCCAACAAGAACCGACTTGACAAAGGCTTTGCCAAGTCGAGTTGAGAAAGGAGATTACGTTCTCGCCAGGAGCTCTGAAAGAACCCATATCCTGGGTTGCTGTGAAGGAGCTCAAGCTAATCTCTCAGAAAATGGGCACACATTCTATCATATCAGTTTCCTTATTGACGTGGTATCTTACTCTAAGTTTCTCAGTCGCTGCATCCACGTGCAAAAAGCCTCTCAATGGCAACCCGGTATTCCTGACGCTGTTTGAGGTAGATAGAGTGTTCTTCAGATACGGGAGATACGATTTGGACCTAGACGTACCTCAGTCCGTTTTTCTTCTGAAAGGCCTGCATGCCCACGAGAAGAGCGATGAACCGGTTGACCTGTTGTGCCAACACTTCTCATGCGCAAGCTGGGGTCGGCGCTGAGGTTGAGATCCGTCTGCTGGCTGCTCTCAGCTCAGATGTGCGTATGGCTGTTCCTAGATTGTGAAGGTGTTCCTCTGCAGTCCGGTGCCATAGGAAACTACGTAACATGAAAAGCTCGAAGAGTGACCATGATCTCGGGAAAGCACCTTGAGTGCTGATTTTTTGCAGTTCAATGTGCAATTAGTAATTAATATGGTTTCCCC